ATCCGCACTGCCCAGCTCTCCGACCATTGCTTACCTGCTGTTGTTGGCGGCGGCTGCGTCGGGGGCTGCGTCATGACAACCGTGCACACAACATACAAGGACCGCGTGGCCTGTCTCGCCTCGCACCACTTGTCCTGTAAACGAAACGAGAGAGTGAGAACTACATGTCGCCTAAATGTTCGTACGAAATTGGAGCCGAGCACACTTACCCGTCTCAGGTGACATCGATAACCATAGGAATGTGGTGGCTGTAGTACGCTTGGTACAGTGCGGTCCTCGTTGCTGTACTGTTGGAAAATACGGCGTCGATGGTGGTGCCGTAGTAAGTGGAAGGCGCGCTCAGGTCGCTCCTCGGCGTCAGCCCTCTGGCCGCGAAGGCGTCCGCTATGCAGCGGCCGGGCGCCGCCCGCATGTCCACGTTGAAGTCGGCGCACACGATGACAGTGCCGCACGGCTCGGCGGGCAGCACCAGGCTCAGAGCCGCAAGGATGTCACCGAGCCTGGCGTCGGTGTGGCAGTACAGCACGGCCACCGCCAGCTCGCTGCCCCGCCGCGCCCTCGCCGCCTCCACTCGGGGCACCGTGCCGACCGCCAGCACCTCGTCGAAGGGCAGCCGCGAGTAGACCGCCACGCCTCCCGCGGCCCTCTCTTGATGCGCGGGCGCGTCGCAGCGGACTACCTCCTGCATGCCGTCGCCCAGGTCGATGGTCTGACCCGGGCGCAGCCACGTCTCGGCCAGCAGCAGGACGTCCGACTGCATCATGACGTCGTCCAGGCTAACGTCGCGGTGGTGGGCGTGGAGAGACTGCACGTTGGCGTACACCGCTCGCAGCGCGTTCGCGGGCCGCTCCAGCAGCGAGGCCCACGGCACGGTCAACGGATTGCTGCGCAGCCTCTGCTTCTCCGCCGCCATGCTGACGTCCCGCTTGTCCAGCCTGGGGTGCTTGAACAGGCCGGCCGCAGTGCGGGGCCGGCGCTCCACCCGTCCGCGCGCCACCCGCCGCAGGCCTGTCCCGCTGTACTTGATGAACAGGCCGGCCAGCTTGCGCACCCTGCTCATTCCCACGTACACCATATTGTTCTGCATGGTGTCGTAGTACTCGACGCAGGCCGCGTCGTGCGAGCTGCCCTGCGACGAGTGGATGGTGTCGGACAGCGCTGGGACGAGCGGGAACTGCTGCCGCATGACGTGGCGCCACACCTCGGTCAGGCACTTGACGAGCCTCGCGTCCTCGCGCTCGATGGGCACCAGGCCGTGCAGCTCGTCGGCCTCGGGGATCGGTGGCAGCTCGTAGGGCAGCGTCTCCAGGGGGAGGCACCTCTGGCGCGCGATGGCCGCCTGCAGCTCGCTGTGCTTGTTGCGGCTGCGTCCGGCGCCAACGTCACCGGAAAACCGGAGCCACAGCGTTTGCACGGCCAACTCCGGCTCGGTGACCCCGGGCGTGCGCGAGCGCTGGCTCAGCAGACCGGCCTGCACCCACACCAGGACCCCCACGGCGCCGTTGACCAGGCCGTCCTGCACGTCGATGTTAACGGTCAGCTTGTACGGCCGGCCGGCCACGGCGAGGAGAAGGTACGGCAAGTTCTGCGCGCTCCTCGTCGGCAGTGCCCTGGCGCGGTCCAAGATGGTCTCAACGCTCGTGTGTCGTTGTCTGCGCGAGGGCCCCAGCAGGCCTCGCGTCTGCTGGACACGGTCGCGCGCCGTCAGCCGGATGATTTGGTGGTTAGGTGCCTTTAACAGCTCACGCAGGTTGTACGCGTCCTTGTCGTCGTTCCTATGGTAGAGCCTGGGGCAGTCGTTGGGCACCACCAGGTTGTTTTCATCGACAAACCTCGACTCTACCATCTCGCGCTCTTCGGCTGTCAAAGGCACCTCCGCGTCGCCAATTTTCGCGAGGATCTCCGCAAACCTCTTGTCTTCGCCCTGTCGCATGTTTTGCGTCAGCTCCACGTACTCGAACTTCTGCCACAGTAGAGCACTCCCACCGAGGGAGTCCGTAGAGCTGACGTAGACAGGCTTCCCTCCGACAGGGGTCAGTTGGCGGAAATCCCCGAATATAATGGTCCACAGGCCACCGAAATCTGCCTCGTTCCCCTTCGCCTCCTTGCAACGCTGATCGACGGCCAGAAAATTGCGGTCGGACACCATACTGATTTCATCAATAATCTGGCCGTGGACGTTGGCGAAGGCGTTCTGCAAGTTGGCGAGGGCCTGGCCTTGCAGGGGCACCATGATGTCGTCGGCGCCCTCGTTCAGCCGCCGGGTGGCGTCGGACTGTTGGTTCCAGGACAGGATGTACGCGTGGTGCATCGTGCTGCCCCCGATGTTGTGGGCCGCCTTGCCCGTGGGGGCGCTGATGACCACCCGGCTGGAGTCCTCGTTGTCGTTGGCCGGGCAGAACGCCTCGAACGCGTTGGCGATGTTGCGAGCCACGACCGACTTGCCCGTCCCCGCCGCGCCGTCGATGTAGATGAGGCGCGGCGCGCTCTGGGTGCGGATGCCGTGCACGACCGCCAGCACCACCTCCTTCTGCTTGGTGTTGAGGCGGCGGATGCTGTCCAGGAAGGTCTCGCGGTCCCACACGCCGCGCCGCCGCACTCGCGCGCTCGCCGCGGCCGGCTGCCTCCCAGGCTCCGGCAGGTCGATGTTGATGTCCTGCGCATCGTCGTCCATGAAGTCGGCAACACCATCAGCGTCGAAGAACAGCTTGGTGTTGCCGGCAAGCATGCCGCGTGCGCTGGCCTCCGCCTCGACCGCCTCGGCCTCGTCCTCCGCCACGCACGCCTCGAGCTCGTCCTGCATGTTGTCGTCCAGGCCCAGCGTCGCCTCAAACACCCGGCGCCGGCCCAGAATGACGTCCTCGTGGCGGGAGTACAGACTATGCATGCTGTCGTCTGCCTGCAGGATGTCGCTCTGCTCGTCCCGCCACGGCAGGTGAAGCGTGCACATGCCCCGGTAGAAGTTTTCACTCTGGTCCCAGTCCTCGCTGTTCTCCGCGTACCTCCTGTACCGGATGACGCGCCGCCGCCTGCGCGGCTTCTGGCTCTGGTGGTGGAGGGCCGCAAACTCGGCCAGGGTGACGTTGTCGAGCTCGGCGGCCCTCGCGGAGTACTTGTCGAAGATGTCTGGGAACCAGAGGTCGGTGGAGCCCGCCGGCATGGCCATGATGTCCTTGTTGGGCCGCGGGCAGTGCACGCGCTCCTCGGGCCGCGACGTGTCGATGAACGTGCACTTCCGGCTCGTCTCGCACAGGGGGAACTTGAGCAGCACCCACGCGGCCTCCTGCGCCGACGTCTCCTTGGCCCGCAGGATGTGAGAGCAGAGCATCTTCATCAAGGTGCGGTCGTCGAAGCCCCGCTCCCGCCGCAGCCGCATGATCTCATTGTGCAGCTGCGAATGGTTCTTCTCGGCCTTCGTGACGTACGACACGCAGTACCGCACCAGGCTGTACACGTCGAGCACGATCTGCGCGTCGGTGTTCGCCCCGAAGGCCTCCAGCACCCACGGCAGGTACGGGTTGGTCCACCTGTCCTGCACGCGCCGCTTGTACAGGACGGTGGGCCGACGCACCCCCGTGCGGATGGCGAGCTCGTACGTGGCGTCATCCAGGCAGCCGGCCCTTTCCCACACCTCCTCAGGGGCGCCCAAACGGGGGTCAAGGTGGGTCGGCCGACCCACCTCAAAATCCCGAAAGGGGAGGTGGAGGAGGAGGGAAAGGGGAGGTAGGAGGAGAGGAAAGGGGAGGTGAAGAGGAGAGGAAAGGGGAGGTAGAAAGGGAGGAAAGGGGGGGAGAAAGAAAGAGAAAGAGGAAGAAAAAAGGGAGAAGGAAAGGGAGAGAAAGGAAAAGAAAGAAAGGGAGAAGGCGGAGGGAGATATGTAGAAGGGTCTATTTACAATTCGTTAAGGTCCGTGGTCGCTAACAGTTTTACCCTACATCACTGCTCCAAAAAACCAATCCATTGGGCTCATGTAAACATTCCATTTGTAAGCGACCTAATGTCCGTCCACATGTGCATTTGTTTCTCTGGAAGCGAAAGAGGTAATACCCTAATTTAGTTAGGGTGTGGGGTAGGAGTACATCCCGCTATTTTTGCTCGATTTTGGCGCGCTATAAAACCGAATTTTTTTCGCGCTCGCTACGCTCGCGGTCCTTTGATGGGGGAGTGCGTAAATTCTGCTTCAGTGCAGCTACCTGCTTTTACGGCTGCTTTATAAGATTTATTTAAGCGCTCAAAATAGCATATTCGTGCTCCTATGCCCCAAAATTTTTTCGCGCTCGCTTCGCTCGCGGCTATTACGCGCTGTTGCAATGGAGGGATTTAATATTAGGGCAACTGGTACAACTCCTAACTGCTGCTGTTCGGTGACACGGAAATGGTCTGGAAAAACTGTCCCTCCCGGGCTT